TATATATATATATATATATATATATATATATATATATATTATATATATATATCTATATATATTATATATACATATAAATATATGTATATATATATTATATATAATATATATATATATATATATATATATATATATAATATATATATATATATATATATATATATATAATATAATATATAAACACGCACATGTGTGTATATATATGTGTGTGTGTGTATAAACTTGAAGGAAAGACATTATAAAAGAAAAAAAGTGAAACAATCAATTGATAAAGAAAAGATTTGTTCGTGAAAATAACGTTGCTGCATCTCCGCCTAGTTCACGGTGAAAACAATGGCTGCTCACAACACTATGGACAACAATGGCGACTGCAAGAGAAGTCTCCCTAAACTAAGAGAGATTTTCACAAGACAGAGACAGGATTCAGATGTAAGTTCAGATTATATTCAAAAGTTGAAATGTGTATCATACTCCAGTTAGATGTTATTTGAAAATAAGTGTTAGCATTGACGTGGAAATGGAACTGCTTCCGAGGGCCCTCTTGTCAGTCCAACAGGCAAACCCAATTTGGCTCTTTTACGGTTGTATATGCATTGTCGGCATTCAGTGGAGAAATAGGATGATTCGAATAGAACTTGGATAGTATTTTCGGAATGCACGCAGTAAGCAAAGATCTTGAAGATGATATTTTTGTAGAGGATTAAAAAAAACATTTTCTCAGGTACTTTTCTTCCAGACTAGAGTTTGGTCTGCACCAAAATTATTTGGTCAAATTCTGTCTGCACAAATGTAGTTCTTGGGTAACTTTGTGCATGCTTAGTTATTTTTAGGTAATTTCTTATATTACCTTTGACTCTACGATATCAACGATTTTGGTGTCGTTGGATTCCTCTCATTCAGTACAGTCCAAAGATGTAGGTTTTATTGCGCGGAAACCCCTCGTTAGCGGCAAACTTGACCCCGATAGCAGGGGTGACGATGTCAGAGCGGCGGTCGGAGCAGCGGACGTAATATAGTAATTTTGACAATTTTGGTATCATTGGATTCCTCTCACTCTGTACAATCCAAATATGTAGGTTTTATTGTGCCGAAACCCCTTGTTAGTGACAAACTTGGCCCCGATGTGGGAGCGGCTGACGTAATATAGAAAATTACCCAAATGATATAACCCATAGTGTAAATGGTTAATTTTTCAGTTATGACAATCGGGACTTCCCAGACAATATTTACATCATCAGATTTATTCTCATATGATGAGAATGAATATGATAATCATTTCCGTTGCAATCACCCTTACGATCTTGATGTGTTAAGTCCCATTAGCAGGGGAGGGCATGAAGTATGTCAGGGAAATTATGGGGTAAAATAGGCTTAGATAAGAATAATAGCGAACAGAAACGTGTAAAACTAGCACAAAAACGCTAAAAATCGGCTAATGAAACTCTACGGACATGTCCGCCACCTTTCAAAGTCTGCGCACTGACGTGCCAGAGTTTGAAAAACTGTATGGGAATTCAACCCATCTTTTGGCAAAATCTACGGGATTTCACACCTTCCAGACCCCCAAAAACGTCCTAACCCATAACCTAACCTAACCTAGCAATTTACGGTGCTGTGACTAGGCGTGCCCGAATGCCCGAGGGGAGGGTTGATGGGGGGCAAGCCCCCCAACACCCCCCAGGACACATTCTTTTCACCTCGGTATGTGCGACAAGATAGAGCTACATCTATACTGTAAACAATAAACCAAATACCTTTATATATCGAAAGACCGAACTGTCAATTTTCCTTCGCTTCTTTCGGTCGATCTATTGTGGATCGAGGATTGCTTCGTTTTTATCGCTTTTTTCGGGATTTGGGGTACTTAATGGCCTCAGAAATCGAACTGCGATAGTTATTAAGGTCTTTTTCTTCTTTGTTTCCTCTTCATAGTTTTAAGAACAACCTAGAATTGACGTAACACCAAAACAGAAACAATTCTCGCCGGTCTCCTGTCACTGGACTGCCCTGGGAATAGTCCTGTCAAACCTGGCGACAGAACGCGAAAATGCGCCTGCGCAGAAGGTGTTTCAGGCCCATTTCTTTAAATCACTGCCTAATAAATCTTGAAACATGAAAATGAGGTATAACAACATTAACAAAGGCCTTCGAAAACATATATGTGGAACAGCAGACACTGATAATTAGCCAAATATCGTTTTGACAACGGCATAGTAATCCATGAACTACTTAATAGAGCGCAAGAATGATTTGACTGGTCACAATTTTGTTTACATTCACGATGTCAACATGGCGAGGGACTTAGAAAAAGATGGTCGGTCTTCTCTCTTCTCTGTTGTGTAACTCATTTATTTGCGCACCTTTTGCCATAGATGAAAAGTATCTCAGTTTACGTCAAGGTAACCATTCCATATTTTTTTTTACTGTAACCCTGATTGTTATCCGCTGTAATTTTACCGCAAAATAACCATAGTTATTAACATAATTTTCCATTGCATGGGGGGGCTACCGCCCACCACCCCCGCCGGGGAAACAAAATATGCACCACATATTCACGGCAGGATAGAGCGCACACGAACTAGATGCGGAGCCGATAACCCCTACCATAACCTAGTAGGAGCACCCTCCACACTCGGTTATTGTGGCGGCTATGGCGAAGTACTGAACGCGGCGGTTATTTCAATTAGGAATTCGAAAATTGTGATTTTAGGGGATGGGAAACTCGACCTTGAGGCCATCGGTGTAACATCAAGAGAGGCGCAAAGATAGGGAAAATCCAAGGGCACTTCCATAGAGATATAAAAATTAACATAAGAAATTAAGAAAAGGGCAACAAATGGCTGTGTAGTAACCTAATTTAAGTTGTCTTGGCGCTTGTAGCTCCGTACGTCAGAACCAGTCATGGTCAATGGTAATATTTTACTAATAGTTCTGCCGAATGGATTGTGACAATATTATGTATTATTGGATTCCTTTCAATGTCTACAATGCAAAAGGTTTTTATTTGCTATCAGGGCCAAGAATTGATTTTTTGCAATGATTATTTGGAAACGAGTGAGAGGAATCCAACAATACTAAAATCATCATGATCTGTTAGGCGGAACTGTTCGAAAAAATGACTTTGTTATCTTAGAAATGCACTATACTTTTAATGTATTTCTGTATTTTGATTTACTTAAAATTATGCAGAAATATGTATTAAAAAAATGTTCATGCCTTATATGATGTGTTCTGCATTATTATATATGCACATTTAAAAAAAATTTGGAATGCTTGTCACATCCACACTTGTGCATGCGCAGGGATCTACCAGCAAATTTGGCAGTTCTTTTGTTGCAGTTGACATTGGTTATTCCAAAAGAGATGTTTGTTTTCCAATATTCTAGTGAAAATGATCTCTTACAGAATTTGTTTCAATAACAGGGATAGCATTACACAAAACATTAACCATGTTCCAGCTGCAGGAATACTCCAGAAATTTGTCACTTCCCATCTCCCTTTACTTAAGGGGGCCGTCGCGCTGAATTTTCAACAAATATTTTCAGAAATACTCGAAAATTTGAAAAAAAAAAAATCTCCTGTAATCTAGTAGGCTTTGGCATTCCTATGATATAATATTTCTGCTAAATGTGTAAAATTAAAGGAGTTATGACTAAATATCTAACTCCCCTGCCTCCGGCTGATGTTTATTTTGTCACGTCTGTGCAAATATACTCAGATTTTTTTTTTTTTTTTTTTTCACCATTTTCTGGTAGCTAGCTGGCAGTTCTGCTTCCTGAATCAGCCGACACCAACCCATACCCCTGATATGCCCTCTCACACACTAAGAGGACACGCTAATGATAATGTTTTTCCTGTAACTAATAAACATAACATGATGAGAATACATCTTAATCACAGCTGCAGCAGTAGTTTATTCTTATGAAATGCAGCATGACGCCTCGCCAGACAATACATATAAATAAATAGATCTGGCTCAGCAAGATCATGCCCTTCTTGCCCTGAAAGGAGGACCACCTTCAAATAACCAGGGCATAGTTAGGATGGTTCGAGTGTGAGGAGGAGGGTAATTATGGAAATCAGGAGAAGAGGCAAATGACTGAAATATATATGAGAGAGAGAAGAGAGAGAGAGAGAGAGAGAGCGACCTCTATTCTGTTTATTTGTTAATTTAATGGAGATATTCGAAACCTGCCTTAAGAAATAAGTTATCGTATATTATTTCGAAATATTATGAAATCTATTATTCCTTATATATTTTCTATATGATATAAAAAAGTCTTTCAACATGGTTGGAACTTACTATTCATATTAATATTTGTCAGATGGAATAATCCATATAATATATATATATTTATATATATAATATATATATTATATTTATATTTATATTTATATTTTATATTTATATTTTTTATATTTTATTTATTTATTTATATATATATTTATATAATATATATTTAATATTTATATTTATATTTATATTTAATATTTATATATATTATAATTTATATTTATATTTATATTTATATATTTATATATATATATTTATATATTTATATTTATTTATATATTTATATATTTATATATTTAATATTTTATAATATTTATATATTTATATATTTATTATATTTATTATATTATTGTATAATTATATATTACTAATATATATTATATATATTTGATATTTGATATATTATATATTATATATTTATATATATATATATATATATATATTATATATATATATAATATATATATATATATAACTATATATATAATATAAATAATATATCATTATATATATACATATATATACTTCATATATACATATATATAGAATTATCATATATATCATATATATTATATATATGTATAATATATATATATATATACTATATATATATATACATATATAATATATATATATATATTATATATATATATATATATATATATATATATATATATATATATATTATATATATATATATATATATATTCTATATATATATGGTTATATATAAATAATATATATATATATATATAATATGTATATGATATATATATATACATATATATAATAGATATATATATATTATATATATATTATATAATATTATATAATATATATATTATATAATTATTATAATATATATATGTATATATAATATATATGTATATATATTATATATTAATATATATATAAATATATATATATATATATATAATATATGTATATATACTGTATATACATATAAATATATATATATATATATAGTATATATATATACATATATACATATCGTATTTATATATATATATGTCATATATACATATATATATATAATATATAATATTACATATATATATATATAATATATATATAATATAATAATATAATATAGTATATATATATATATATATAT